AGACAGAAAGTAACAAATGCTGGTGGGGATGTGGAGAGATTGGGACCCCCATACACTGCTAGTGGAACTGTGACGTGATACAACCAGTGTGGAAAGCAGTATGGTGATGCCTTAGAAAGCTGGAATTGGAGATATCATTTGACCCCTCAATCCCATTACTAGGTATATATCCTAGAGAGGTGAGAGCCAGGACAGGAACAGATATATGCACACCCATTTCATCACAGCACTATTTACAATAGCAAAAAGCTGGAAACAACCTACATCCCCATCAGCGGAAGAGTGGATGACCAAACTATGGTACATACACACAATGGAATGCTGTGCAGCACTAAAGAATAATGTAGAGTCTGCAAAACACTGCATCATATGGATGAACTTGGAGGACATTATGCTGAGTGAAATAAGTCAATCACAGAAAGACAAATATAGTATTAGTTCATTGTTGTGAAGGGTCAAGGAAAGGTTTATATACGGAGGGAAACTTTCTTTGTCGGTTGCCAGGGGTGGGAGGGAAGGGGAGGGAACACTGCAAAAAAAAAAAAAAAAAATGCATTGACCTACGTAAAAGAATATTTTAAGAAATACGGCTTACATATTTTCAAAATAATCATTAAGTACGATTATTTCTTTTTGTACAGGACCTCTCTCATACTTATCACCGAAAACACTTAAAATCATAAATGTAAAATTCATTTCGGTAATAAGCACATTTTTATGTTCCACTATTATTTCATAATAACTCCATAAACATATCCATGTCCATGGAGTGGGAGGACAACGCCAATGGACCACAGCTCAAACCACCTGCCTTTGAGTCAACTCCACTTCATGGTAATTCCATATGTGTCACAGCAGAACTGTGTTCCATAGGGTTTTCAATGGCTGATTTTTCAGAAGTAGGTTGCCAAGCCTTTCTTCCGAGGTGTCTCTGGGTGGCCTAGAACCTCCAACCTTCTGGTTAGTGGCTTTAAATAGCTGAAAGCAAAGGATGATTATTCAGCTAGAAACAAGGTAGATGGACACGCTGGGTAGTTCCAACTTTTAATTATTTTCAAAAGCAAAGTTTAGCTTTAATATCATGAGAGAACAACATTCTTGTGGAGTAGGAGAAAGATGCAATAATCACATCTAACAAGTGTTCTTTATGAAATTTAATTATTTACCTGTAACGGACCCAAAATGGAGCTGGTTGTATACATAAAAAAGAGCCGAAGATAACTCAAAACATTGGCAAATGCAAAAAGCCCTTCTGCTACTAGTGTTGGATGGAATGCATCCCAGTCCTTCCGATCAGCAAAATCATGAAACTAAGATTAGAAAGAAAAGAGACAATGGTAAATAGTAACTTCAATTTAGGAATATAATAACAACTATTCTAATTCTTGAAAGAAAAGTATTTTAATCATGTCTCCTTCTGGGATCCCCATATGTATTTTATAGAGTTCTCCTTTCTTAATAGAAATAACAATGTTTTAACTAAATGAAGGATGTCTGCATATGTGAGGCAGTATCATTTAACTCTTGAAAACCAAGAGGATTTCAGAAAAATTCTTATGTCTTAAAAAATTTAAACAATTTTGTAAATTGTCATTAAATTTTTATGAATGAATGTTGGCTCATTTTTCTTAAAATGCAAGCTTTTAGTATATGCATTGACAATAATTATCACATTGAAGTGATTTAGTCCTTTGACTCCGGATTCTAGAACAAACCATAGAGGTTCTTTTCCCTTTTAAACTCTAAGAGAAAAAGAGTGTATTACTGTACTACATATAGCGTGGTCATTTAAGTCCCAGTTGCCTAAGACAGTCCCAGATTGTATACCAGCTGACCCAACATAATTATTAATGCCCTATTTCACTCTCAAAGTGAACTGGTCTAGATAATATATTACATGTGCACCCTACTTCTCGTACTAAAGAAATCAGTCTGAAAAAGCAACATCCTTCAACCTCTTTACCAAACCATTTATCTATGTATGACCAATTTCTTATTTTCTTAGAAATGTCACATTCTGGACATTGAATATAACTACACAAGTATGTTCTGTGCTACTGGTTAGTCAAAAGAAAAGACTTTTGAATACAGTAAAATGATGTAAGGTAACTAGTTTGCTTTCCATTTTATCTATAAATTGGTTAAAAAAAAGAGAGAGAATATTATATCTTTTAGTTCTTTGAATGTCATACTCCAAAGGAACTCTAAACTCAGGGTTTAGACAAAGATATAAAACCTATTGCTTCTTCTGGGCTTAAGGGAATTTAAATCTTGATGAAAGCATATCTATATACGTATGCATGCATGTATGTATGTATACACACAAAGATATATATATGGCTAAAATTTTATCCAAGTCTATGTTTACATCATTTGATAAGCTATGTAAGATAAATACTGTAACTTGGAATGTGTAAAATTTTTTAAATAAATTCCATTGAATTAAACTTTTTTCTGGAAGATTTAACAGCTATCAAATACTAATCACTTTAAGCTATTCTGTGCTCTTATTTTAAGTATGTGCAGGTTAATGAGGTAAAGGAACCTAGCTTATTCCTTACAGGGAATTCATATTTGGTAGAAAGAACATGCCTAGACAGACCTGGATTTAAATCCAGTCTTGGTTTCTTACTTTGTGGTCTTGGACAAGTTACTTAATATCTCTGAGCTTCAGTTTCCTTATTTGCAAAATAGGGATAAGGACATCTGCCTCATAGGGTCCCTGTGAGGATAAAATGAGATAAAGTATATGTATCAAGTGTCAACCACGGTGTCTGGCATATAATAGGTAACCAACATTAAAGGTAATTAATATTCTTTAAACCATTGGAAAGGAAGGAAAACAGTGTGCACTACTCTCTTGTACATGGAAAGATTAAAAAAGAAAACACACCAGACACATATGTGTGTCAGTGTAATTCTGAGTTACATAGCCAGATGTCTCAGGTATTTGCTAAATAAATTTTGTTTGTGCTTCAAATTGACATAGTTAATAGTCACCTTGTTATGAGCAACCATTTTGAGTGCAAAGGTTGCCAAATAAAGGGAATTCATGACAAAACTGAGCTGATTACGAGATTCTTCTAAAAAGTCCTCTAGTCCTTCATACCAGAGTCTTTTAATGTCTGACCAAATCATCCCTAAAAAAAAGGAAGAAAAAAAATCAGATAACATTCTTAGTTCAGTAACAAACTAAAGCACACTTGAAGACTCAAAGTACTAAGTAAATAGCACTTAAGCCAGCTAGAGCCTCATTCAAAATAAAAAACAAGAACTTTTTAGTTAAACTTCCCATAAATTGAAGGGGGAGGGGCATCACCATAAGTTTCATATGACAGTGTCTTTCCCACAGAGCAATTTTAAGTGATGTGAAATAAAGAGTAATAATAATAATAAAACCTGATGTCACATGTGTGAGCACATGCATACACGCAAAAATCAAGGGCTCAGCCCATGGTCCTTTTCTCTTCTGTATCCACATTCACTCCTTCAGTGACCTCTTCCAGTCTCATGGCCTTAAATAACATGTATAGGACAACAACTCTCAAATTTATCTCTCTAAAGTTAACTGAAGGAGCCCTGGCAGCACAGTGGTGAAGCTCTCAGCTGCTAACCAAAAGTTCAGTGGTTTGAACTCATCAGCCACTCTGCGGAAGAAAGGTGTGGCCGTCTGTTTCCATAAAGATTTACAACCTTGGCAACTCTATGGGGACAGTTCTACTCTGTCCTATGGGGTCACTAAGTCGGAATTGACTCGATGGCAATGGGTGTGGGTAACCTTAACCCATATTTATATAATAACTTAAATCTCTAAACCTGTCTCCTAAAGCCATCTCGTGTAGGCAAATGGCGTCTTCAACTCTAACCAAACCAGACTCACTGCCATCGAGTGGATCCCGACTTACAGCGACCCCTCCTTGTGTTTCTGAAGCAGTACCTCTATGGAAGTAGATCACCCAATCTTCCTTCTGAGGAGCGGCTGGTAGGTTTGAACTGCCAGACTTTTGGTTAGCAATCAAATGCTTTAGGCACTACGCCACCAGAACTTCTTATCTTCAACTGGATGTTAACAGACATCCTAACGTGTCCAAAGTTAAATTCTAATTTCCCCCTACAAATCCAACGCACTCACGGACTTCCTCATCTTCTTGTTGATGTTGTTAGGGGCTGTTGAGTTGGTTCCCCAACTCATAAGACCCACGTACAACAGAACAAAACATTTCCCATTCTTGTGTCATCCTCACAATCCTTATTGTGTTTTAGCCCATCACTGCGGCCACTGTATCAATCCATCTCCTTGAGGGTCTTCCCTTCTTCACTGACCGTCTACTTTACCAAGCATGATATTCTTCTCCAGGGAATGATCCCTTCTGACAATATGATCAATGTGGGTGAGACGAAGTCTGGCCATTCTCACTTCTAAGTAGCATTCCAGGTGCACTTCTCCCAGGACAGATTTGCTTGTTGTTCTGGTAGTTCATGCATAGTATTTTCAGTATTCTTCACCAACACCACAATTCAAAGGCAGCAACTCTTCTTTGGTTTTCTTTATTCATTCTCCAGCTTTCACATACATATGAAGTGATTGAAAATACAATGGCGTGGGTTAGGTGTAACCTAGTCTTCAAAGTGACATCTTTGCTCTTTAACACTTTCAAGAGTTCTTTTTTCTTTTAATTGTGATTTGGGTGAAAATTTACAGAGCAAATTAACTTTCCATACAGCAGTTCACATACACTTTGTCTCATGACATTGACTACAATTTACCTCAATGCAACAGCTCCCCTCCCACTTCCTCCCAATAGTTACCTCTTCCCTGTACCCATCCCTCTATGCACTCCTGCCCCCTGAGCTGTCTCCCTGTGCATATACAGCCCTTCTTTCTCCCATGATTGTTCTCTCCAAGGAGTGTATCTCCCTCAGGTAAATGTTCAACTCATATGCATGTCTGTTGTTTGGCTGGAAGCCACAGGTGTAGGTTCAATTCCAGAACAGAAGGGGAACTCGGGGCCATAGTGTCAGTGGTTCCACCAGGCTCTGCCAGACCAACAAATCTGGCCCCCCCCCTTTTTTTCCCCCAAATGATTTTGAGTTTTGTTCCATATTGTTCTGCCTCTCTAACCAGGATCTCCTACATAAGATCCCTGTCCAAGTGTTTGACAGTGGCAGCCAGGCACCACCTAGTTCTTCTGGTCTCATAGTCATATGGGCTGCAGATCGCATGGTGTACCAGTTGCTAGGACTAATTCTTTCCATGAATCTTTGGTTTTCTTCATTTTTCTTTGCTCTCGGCAAGGAGAGACCCATATTTCATCTAGATGGCTGCTTGAAAGCTTTTAAGATCCCAGTTGCTACTCACCAAAGTAGGAAGTGGAACAATGTTTTGTGTAGTATGTTATGCCAATTGAGCTTGATGTCCCCTGTGACTACGGTCCCGAGCCCACAGGTTCAACTACTCAGTCCCTCTGGGTAGCTGGCTGTGACCAAAAAATGACTACAACCTTGTCCCTTGCCAGTTCTACTATACACCTGGGAATTCAGATCATACAAATAAATACACTTATATGACCATTGTCTGCCAACCCTATACATGGTCTTGGGTACACTCCCCACTTCATAGACATACCTAATATTCAGCCTGCCCACCCATCTATCCACCCATATACTCATGTTTTCCTGCACTGACAATGCAGTACTGTATGTACAAAAGGGTTCATCTTTGTTGTCTGTACCTCCCATGTACCTCTCTATGTCTTCCTCTTTCTCAATGCCACCATGTTGATCACTCACATTTGGTACATTGCCCTTTTCTTCACCTAAACCAATAGTTATCTCTACATACCTAACAGTGTTCCCTCCCCTCCTCTCCCACCCCTCCCCTGGTAACCAACAAATAATATTTCCTTCCATAGATAAACTTTTCCTTGACTTTTACAATAACAGACTAATACAATATTTGTCCTT